ATGCAAAGGCAATTATGAGCTACACGCGAAAATCCGATGTAGCGCTATCCACACGCTGTTGAGAACGGACCCTGTTTTAGTTTAATCTCCTGAATTTTGGATGAAGGGATTGAAGTTTGATTGTTGGCCGAAATAAACCTAATAATAATAACTACAGTTCTGGGAAGAGTTTACTTTAGGTTTCACGCAACACGTGTCAGGAGGAATATGCTGTTTGCTAGCTTTTACAAATAGATCCGTAGGAAATAGTAAATTAGATTTTGCGATGAGCCTACACGGTTAAAAATAGACGGTGTTGGTATGTATTAAAAATGAGAAATTGATAAGTCTGCCGGAGATGACAAATTGCACTGTAGGTGGAATCCGGTGAAAGTAATTTTGCTGAAGGGTTGCTCCGAGAATTAATACAGTATGAGACGCATATTTTGCTTTTGTTACAGGTCTTTGAATTTTATGGATGTGTTGTTTTAAGTTTCTAAATTTAGGGAAAGTGAAGTATTGTTTCTTTTTCGCAATAACGAATTAAAACGTCTCGAATTTATAGAACTTTCTGTTTTTAATTATGTTCTTCAGTGGTGGTGTCTTTTTGTCTCTTAACCTCCCAAATTATTCACTCTCGAGCTTATTTGTTAGTTTTCAATTCGGTGTTTGCTGTTTCTTGCTATTATTTCTGGGAATTTCAAAAACACACAATTTGTTTTCAAAAAAATTTTTAAGTAATTTTAATACATCCGCAGATGCTTAATTATTTAAAAAAAAATTGTCTTCTATGTTTACAGAATCACATACTTGCGAGACACAAGGTAAGTTTAAGCGGCCGTGAGAACCACTAGAAAGACTGTTCAAGTATGTACTTTGTTTTTCAAATATTGATAATCTTTTATCAGCTGCTGTTAAGTGGTTTTTGAACTAGATTTAGACTAATTTTTACCACGAAGATCGTGATAAACCTTTTTAAATCAAATATGTTTGTTTACTAAATTGTGAATTTTCTTGTTGCGTTGTTCATTTTTTTGAAGCAAATTTTTACTTCCTGAGCGAAGCTATCTGTCTGTCGTCTGTGTCAATTTTTATTAGACAGATAATCTCCGAAACAAATGGACCGATTTCCGTCAAATTTTATATGTAGTTCGTGTAGATGGTAAAACGCTAACCAAAATTTGTCCATTCATCCTCTCCCAAAAAATTGGTGACGTCATTTCAAAATTTTGTGTAATAAATCCTACGAAAACATAAAATTCATACTTGTGGTTTATGAATGCATTCATGTTTTTAAAGTTCGATTTATAAACTTGCCGTTGACGCTGCCGCTGAAAGTTGGGTTTCAACCTATCAAATTGCGCTAGTGTGCAGTGCTGCCAACTTGAAGGAAAATCCTCCGAAGTAGGGGGGACATTTTTCTAGTTGACAACACTAATTCCACGAAAATCAAATTTTAATTGAGATAATGAGGTCCATTTAATCACCTGTTCACCGAAACTCTCATATTTTAAATAGCTGCCATCATTTTCTACACTGTAACTTTCTGTCAGTACTTGCATTGTTAAAGATAGTTCTGGACGTTTAAATCAACAAAATTTATTGCTATTCGTCTCAAAAACACATTAGGGACTATAACTACAAGGGCTTACATTTCGCCCTTTTTTTCTTAATATGCGTAGTCTTTTGTCAACAAGAAAGGTAAAACATGTTTAAAATCGTAAATTTTTGTGGGAAAGTATTGATTTTGCAATTAGGCTCCGCCTCTCGGTCAGATAACGAATGAAAAATTAATCACAGTTAAGCTTGGGATGGATATGGGTGGGGCTTAATTTTTGGCTTTTTTTTTTCTTAATATACATGGTGTTCCTTGAACAATACGAAACTCAAGAACATGCTTTTTTATTTCTTGGAGAGAAATAAGGATTTTGCAACTAGTCTCCGCCCTTCAGCTCATGATGAATAAAATATTCATCACAATTGAGAAACGGTGGGTGGGCGGGGCTTATATTTTGTCCATTTTTTCTTAATATACAAAGTCTTCTTTTCCCAAAATGAAACTGAAAACATGTTTAACTATCTCGTTGTTGAAAGAAAATTCTATATATTTAAAAAAAAACAAACATTAAGCCCCACCCACCCGTCCCGATCTTAATTGTGATGAAATTTTCATTCGTTGTTAGACCAAGGGGCGGAGCGTAATTGCAAAATACATATTTCTCTATTGATTTGAATGAGTGTGTCTTCTCAAAACAGAACTACAATTAATAATTAAACCACAATCGAACAAAATGTTATGAACATTATAATTCTTATTTTATCATTATTATATAAAACGTGCGTTTTCTCACATTCTTAATATACATAGTATTCTTTGAACAACACGATTCTCAGACATGTTTTTTATTTTTAGTAGGGAAATAAGGATTTTTCAATTAAGCTCACAATTGAGATAGGGCGGGTGGGCGGGGCTTACATTCTGCCTTTTTTTCTTAATATGTGTAGTCATCTTTTCACAAGAAACTTAAAAACATGTTTAAAGTGGTAAATTTCTATAGCGAAATATCGATTTTGCAATTACGCTCCGCCCGTCTGTCTGACAACAAATGAAAAATGCATCACGATTGAGATCGAGAGGGTTGGGCGGGGCTTCTTTTTGGTTTTCTTTTTTAATTAATACTTTTCTTTGTGTATCGCGATTACTTAAGAATCTAATTTCTCGTAGAAAAATAACCATTTTACAATTAGGCTCCGCCCCTCGGCTTACGACGAATAAAAAAAAATCATCACAATTGAGACAGGGTGGGTGGGCGGGGCTTATATTTTGCCTCTATTTTTCTGAATATAGATAGCCATCTTTTCACAACAAGAAACTTAAAACATGGTTAAAATGGTACATTTTCAAAATCGGTATTTCCTTATACAAATTTTCCATCTTAAACAGGTTTTAAGTTTCATGTTGTGAAAAGAAGTCTACACATATTAAAACAGAAAGGCAAACTGTAAGCCCGCCCACCCGCCCTATCTCAATTGTGATGATTTTTTTTATTCGCCGTTAACCAAGAGGGGGGACCTTAACTGCAAAATATTTATTTCTTTACCAGAAATTAAAAACATGTTTTTGAGTATCGTGTTGTTCAAAGAATACTATGTATATTAAGAAAAAAAAGGCAAAACATTAAACCCGCCCACCCACCCTATTTCAGTTGTGATGATTTTTTTATTCTTAGAAACTTAAAACACTTAAAATGGTAAATTTTTGTAGGGAAATATGGATTTCGCAAGTAGGCTCTGCCGCTAGGTCTGGCAACAAATGAAAACTTCTTTACTACATATTTAGATCAGATCAGGTATGGGTGGGGCTTATTCTTTGGCTTTAATTTTTTCCTAATATACTTCGTATTCTTTGGACAACACGATACTCTAAAACACGTTTTTAATTTCTCGCAGAGAAGTAAGGATTTTGCAGTTATAATCGTCAGAACTGAAATCGGGCGGGTGGGCGGGGCTACATTTTGCCTTTTTCTTTCTTAATATGTGTAGACTTATTTTGACAACAAGAAATTTAAAACACATCTAAACTGGTAAATTTTTTGAGTAATCCGCTTAAATCCGCCATTTTTCTTTTACAACCCCTTTAAATGCGGCAAAAGTTGAACATCAAAGTATCAGCGGCGACTTGTCAACGGAGTTTATAAATAACAACAATAACGTCAACAGCAAGTTTATAAGTCCCACTTAAGAATTAGTGTCGTTGATAAACTGTTGATGATGTGATCACAAAATATCAAAAACGTGAAAAATTTAGCCACTGCTGTCAGATTCATCCTAAACAATGTTTGAGTTCCTTGTTATATTATAAATAAAGAATACGATGGATAAAGACAAGATACCTAGAAAATTATATTGAATAATGAAAAGAATAATTAAATTTTGAAAAGCTATATCTTCTACATTTGGACAAAAGAATTTTTTCTTCTCCTCCATAAAGGTCCTGGACAACGTGTCATAGACTTGGTGCGCAATTTTATGATCACCCTGTATAAACAAATTACAAAATAAAAACAAATACTGTGAAACTCCACGCCGGGGCATTCTTCTATTCAGTACTCAAAAAATACTCGGGGAGGATGTCATTTGACGCTAAAAGGTTAACTTTTTTAGCTTTCTCCCAATCATATCGCATTCATATTTGATCGGCCATAAATCGGGTCCTCTGTCTGGCCATAACCAAATAGTGCACTGACCAGAATCCAAAGATCTTCTAGTACCTAGAGCGTCATGTGGTCTTGCATTAGCTTGTTAAAAAACATCATCTGGATTTCTTCAAACATAGACGAAGAAAACAGGTTTCAGAGGTGTCAAACAAACAAACATCGTGATGACATTCATACAGCTTTCAAACGTCATTTTGGTCCTCCAGATGTATCGTTTGATCTCAGTTTCAACTACTTGAAGGCTTTCTTTTCAAATTTTGCGGCATTAAAGATGACGTTATCCCAAATCGATTTTTGGTAGTCTTAGTTGTATTATTTATTGAAGTGCGTCTTTCTAACTTTGATATTGTTGTGGTGTTATTTGGTATTTTGTTGAAATGTGCAATTTATTTTCTTGACAGCCGAAGTTAGAATAACCGAAAAATGAAAAGATTATACTCCGTCGTTTTGAGAGCTATTTCCGTTAATCATGTATTAGATATATTGTGTAATATCATGTGGTACACCCAAAATTTGCAAAAATTTCGTAAACACGGTTATAAACAGGATTAATGCAAGTGGGAACTTGGACAGTAGAGCGCGAGAAGTCGTGGTTTGGTGATTTGGCACCGTTGCCTAAACGTAAGTTTTTCGTCTCGTTCTTTCTTCCCTCCGCCGCGTCCCGTTGGCGGCCTCCAGGTGCGAGAGCGGCGGCGGTGGCGGCGGCGGCATGCATCAGGTTGTATCGATGCGGCGTGTGCGGGATGCATGGATGGGGTCCTCTTATGGCGCAGGTCCGCGGATGGCTTGGTTGGTGCTCGTCTACGTCCGTGGTGCGGCACAGTCCGGGCGAGAAAGCCAGCGAGTGCGGCGGTCCACACCTCTAACACTTCCTACGAACTACTCACTCTGTCACCGGTCCTTCACTTGACACATCCTCACATACAACAACACACACACGTCCTTCCGGGGAACTCAGCCCCGAGTGTCGCCAAGAATCCGCGTACAAAACTGTCTAGGAAAAGGGAATTAAAAGCCGACGAGATCGCGTCTTTCTGCTAACGCCAATCTATTACGTTCTCACATTAATGTCTTTTGGTCTCTTTTGCATACTCTCCGAGTGCTCTATTTAGTGTTCTTTCTCAGTCGACGGAACTCGCCGACCACCAAAGGTAAAACAAGCAATTTTTATCAATCACTCGCAGACCGCCACGTTATTGTTTCCGAAACGCACTCAATCAAACCGAGAAGATTCAAAATCCGCGTTTGACGTTCCTTTTAGTACAAAAAGAGAAAGATTATATTTTTACGAGGGTATTGTATTATAAGTAACCGACGAGTTATATAGTGTTGTCAGTTTCGAGTTTTTCGTTTTTTGTTTTTGGCGTTTTTAAGGCAAAGACGACGCGTCTTGTCCAAGAATTAACGACAATCATTGATCACTAATTGTAAGTAAAGTAAGTTTGTTGTACGTGTGATAGAGTCTTAGATTATCTAAATTGGAGAGTTTTGCCGGACGACCGGCGTTATTACTCCAAGAGTTTCTTGACCTGAGAGATAGCTACTCGCCGTGTTGTCTTTTGACGGCCAGCGCGTTGCCAACCGTACACATTGTTGTATTACATACACCGTCCTCAAGACCGACTCTCCGAGACGAGCTTTATCGTAATTTATTACAAGTATTTAAATAAATAAATAATAGTTAGGTAATTCGAAGGGCCCAGTGCAATATTTTTTCAAGGACGCCGCCGCGTTCTCAACTCGCAACAAAGTCAATATTGTTCTTCACACACTACTGCATGTTGTATTGTAAAATTTTAATCAATCGTCACTATTCGATGTTCGTGGTGTTTGTGTCTTAGACAATCATTTTTCTGTGTATATACCATACATACAAGAGCAAATTTAAAATACCTGTATACCGATAGAGGTTTTTCGCACTCGACGCATCACACTCACCTTCCTACGCGTTTCAATTATTCGAACATATCCTCACTGTTCGGTGCAGACAATCGGTTGTTGTTATTGTTGTTGTTTTTGCTCTATCGTGTGCCGACTCAAATTCGGCGTTAAGGTTGTGTGCGACACGTTCAGTATTATCTTCAAATAGCAATCCATATCAATCATCACTACTCGTTAACAATATTCGTGTAAAATACATATCTATAGGTTAATTATATATTTAAACAAAAAGTAAATAGTATATTTTATCTAAAGCAAAGTTTATATATCGCTCAGTTATTGATTGTAATCAAACTATTTATAGTTGAGATATTTATATACATTTAGCAAAATTAGTCGGCTAGTACTAAGTGAACCCATACGGAGACAATCGTGCAATATTAGCAAAGGATACCAAATATCAATTAAAATCGACAATCGGACTTAATTAAGGTTAGGAAAATTTAAAAAAAAAAAAAAGTAAAGACAATCCGTTTTCGCGCGTAAATCGTGACCGTGATAAGAAAAGAAGTAGTGTAGGTAAATTGCAGCGACAAATACCACAACCACCACCACCACGACGTACTTCCTGAACGCCCCCGGCCAAATCCCTTACGTAGTGCCCTTCTGTCCCGTCGTGCCCTGTCCTGAAATCACAGCACCGCCGACTGCGTACGCCCCATCCCCGGCGCCCTGTCCCTGTGGCCAATGTGCCCCACCGCACATGTACAGTAACCAACTGGCCGCCCCGAGTACACTCATCGTCAATCGGTACACCGAAATCAACTACTTCGACAACCAACAGGCTGCCAATTGCGAAAAGTACATCTACGATATGGTAAGGGATGATTTTTTCATGTTTGTAGATAGCTGCCCGTAGCAAAACCCGTATTAACCCCCATATACGCACAGAATTTTGTTTCTACCACCAAGAAGAATTATGCTTACACTAATGTTCCGCTCGAGATTGTTCTTGTCTCGTCTGCCCCAGTAGCAACTTGTCAAATAGTGCAGATTATTTATGATTTCGTGTTTCATTTTACATTCAAAAATAAAACTATACGTATTAATAAACAATAAAGTAATATTTATTGAAACTGAAAATGTTGTGGGTGTAGAATTACATCGCTTTGTTAACAAGTTTGCCCACGGCAAGCACAAGTTGTGTAATCGCACGAGTACGATAACGATGTATTAGTCCACCTATAACGGGCAAAATTTTTTCCACGACTTTAAAAATTAAAGTTGTTCTAATGTCGTAGATAAAATATATTAATAAATTAATGTTATTAAACGAAGATGGGGTTTGTATACATTTTAAAATAAATACCATAGCATTAAATGTAATATTTTCAATTACTTAATGGAATGGATGTATGCAGAAGTTTATGTTACCTATTTATTTGATAAATATGAATGCATGCCTTGTAGCGAGCTATTTTAAATATGGTTGAACGGATATTTTGCCTAGTATTCCCGTTTTAAAAACATTATTTTATAATGTATTTGATGTGGTTGTATGTAACGCTATTAAAAATTATGTTAACATAGCTGCTTTTCCTGGAGGAAAACTTTTAAATTAATAAGTAATCACAATAGAACGTAAACAGATTACGTATGGCAAACTTTATTCAAGACAGTCCATTGAGTGTATGAAATGAATAAACAATAAGTAAAGAAATATATACATGACACCTTTGATAGATAGATAATGGGACAAGTTTGACAACTATTAATATATAAAAGGTTGATTTTCTATGCGTTTTGTTTCCCGTAACAATGGAGTTTGTCCCCCTAGTAGTAATAGTAGTATTTGTACTGACATCACTGGAATCTATATTATGGGAAAGTCCACAACTATCTGATAAAATTAATACAACAATTGTGGATTTTTCCATCCCGCTAACTACAAAGAGTACTCAAAACCTATTTAATAACTTCACAAACTCCTTTTTTTGTTGTAATATAACTCCAGCGTGACCCTATATCTTTGACGTCCCTATTTTTCTAAAAAAATTTCCATTCTCCGCACCCGTGCACTCATCGCTAGTTAATCCCATTCTTCAATTAAAACGTTCCGCCTTAATTAGTTCACAATGACGTCACGCCATGATTTTATAAGCTTACCACTAAAGAGTTCATTAAATTAAAGTAACCTTTGATATATCTCCCACAGTCGGAAGACTTCCTTCCACGCCACTGTCTACTAACTGTATTTGATGGTTTCCATGTCCGTGTGCATTTTATCGTTTCGTGCGCGTTCATTTTTCCTCGAACAACAAAGAACTCCATTTTTCCTGTCAAAAGAAAAAAAATGGCTGCTTTACGATCGACAATTACGTCGCTAATTATTATCACCGCTGCGCCATGTTTGATGGTTAAATATTTGGTGGATGGGCTTTGTTAGTGCGGCCGTAACACACCTAAAATATTTACCAGTAATCCGAGTAATTGTTGTTTGATTAAACAAAACATCATTAATGGTCGCGATAACGCGATCTGATTGCGCGGTGGCGACGCCGTCAAGGTTGTGCCCCATTTCTGCCCCCTCGCAAAGCAAGCAACCCAGTAGAACGAAGTCTCGGGCACCAGTTTTTGATCTTTCTCAGTTTGAAGTGTCTAGAGTGACTGATTGTTACTACAGGTGGAAGGATGTTGATAGTAAGACGAAAACTGAAAAGTATATAAGTAAATTAAGGTGCTTTCAAATAGTGGGCGAGGACTGGCGCCAGCTGACGATTTCTGTTTGCAATCGTCAGATTTGCGTAAATCGGTTTTTTCTGAGCCGAAACAATCGTAAGAATGTGTATCGTTTTTTATTTGTGGAGGAAACATCGGCGGCATTCCATTTGGGACCATCCGAGGCTTGCTGTGATGGAGAGCTTAGAAGCAATAATCCGAAGGAACGGACGCTCTTAAAACCTGTAAAAGCCGCGCAAAAATAATGGAATTTATATTATTAGGGGAACGGCTTGTTTTTCGTTTCGTGTATTGTCTGGTTTTCGCTTTCGGTGAGTCGGAGGTAATTGATTGATCTTCTCAGGTGACCGAACTGGGATTTTTGACCACCGAAGGTTTAGAGGAAAATAAATTTTAGAGACGTGGCGGATTACTAGGAACCCTAATCGACCTAGTGGGTTTTAGCCAAGGTGAAGACGAGTTATACGTCTGAGGTTCACTAGGTTGTGTTTTAATAATGTTACCTATATTAACTGTACCCCACCGGAATGAGTATATTAGTTGTGAGCATCCGCAGCGCCAGAGCGCGAAATGCGTCCCAAATTAAATTAAAAAATGATTAATCATGTTTTAAAACCGATAGGCAAAAAATTCAGCGAAAATCCCTCACGTTTGCAGTTAATGGATTTAAAAGCGAAAACCAACAATGTTAAAAATATTTTACTCGCGGAGAATCAACGGATAAGCGAATTTAAACGGGCTGTCCGTCAAAAATTTGACGCGGAAATTTTAATTCGAACGTTCATAAAAACTCATCTGCTTCGATAATATTCAACCTTCGTAACGTCACTCTCAGACAAAATTAAATTACTTAGATGGGGAAATAACGTCACGAAACTTTATTCTTTCCAGTGGGCAATGTTTACTTTAATGTCCTCAATGGAGTAATCTCAGAGACAGGGATTATTTAGTAGTTTGGAGCCAGTCCAGAACTTTTCGGATTAGCCGATGTGGCAGCCACAATTATTCAGAAAGGATTGCTGGTGATTTGTAGATCACAATTAACACCCAAAAGGCGGGCTTATTACTTCCGAGGACTGATTAACAAATTATAAAACTCGGGACGACGCAAACCTGACGTGGGCGAATCAGATTTACCCGGAAAAGTATTTCTTGGGGTTACAGTATTTGCTAGAAAAATCTATAGGATGGAATCAGCGCTCGAACTATCGAACACAGAGTTCTAAAGAAAATATTAAAGGTGTTGAAGTTGAGGGGAATATTTCCTAGAATTTTCTATATCAGGATCAAAGCCTAGACACATTTAAACACTTACTATTTTCCCATAATTTCGTTATATTACTCTCATGTTGACTCCAGAACTGTCACTGTGGATTTAATTTTACCGCATCCCAGTGACATTGTATTACGAAACGAAAGTTCTACCAGTTTTAACAGATGGTTTACGGCGTTGAAGAATTTGTTAGTCTCGTGATAATATGCAGTTGTTGGCAGTTTTTTCCTTCCGCATAGTCTGAAAGTAGCATTGGTGTCAATATTAACGAACCGTTAAATTCAGTTGTTGGAGAAATTTATGTGTTTGCCGTAACAGCAATGAGCAGAGGTGCTAAATAAACTTTACCCTTCAAAACAACTTGTTCTATTTTTGATTCCACCGCAACGTGCCGTTTTGTTTTGGCTAATGCCACTATTTTTGAATTGTTTATGAACCCGATTATGGAAAAATGGTGAACCGTTATGTCATTGAGTGGTTATATTTTGGGTTTATTTGGACGTCTTCTACTGAGTGTAGGTACTACATTGTTGTTGAATAGTTAAATCTTTGATAAAAGTACTACTTACATGGTGACATCCTAATCAGAATATATTTGTTAATCCCCTTCAAAAACTTGATGATGTCATCACAAAATTTTAGTTACATTGCCCTTGTATAAACGAACATGTTAAAATACGACTTCATAAATATTCAGATTATTATATTCCTCATTAGTCCACCCACGTTTAAATATTAGTAAATAGTTCAGAATTCGTAGTTTTTTTCCATGTTTTTTCTCATCTAGGGAAATGTTACGTGCTTATGTCAAAAAGATCGTTCAGTTACCTTTTGGAATTCCACTAGGTACTAACTATAATTAAATGTAATATGTTTTTCAAATTGTAATAATTGAGGGATGAGTCGTCAAACTTTAGAGGACTTCGTCATCAATTTAGAGTGTCAAATAATCTGTGAATGAGTTAAATCAACGAATTGAATATGCGTGGAATATTTTAGAACCACTGATATAAGATAAAATAGGCCTACAAACACTGGTTTGATCAAATGTCAAGGTTTTAAATAGTGTTTGCTGTTTTTTGACTGATCTTTACAGTGCTGTGGCATCATCCATCTAAAAATCCTATACAATAATCATCTATCATTTCGATGTCATTAATAACATTAACTCCAGTGTCTTAATATTGTAGTTTTGTTGTCCTTGTTGTTCATTCAGCAAGTTTTTACATTGTGTGTTGACCAATTTTTTTTTTTTTTTTGAAAATTTGCGTCCTGGAATGCGAAAGCTCGTTTTGGCGAAAGCGCTCCATAAACCTCGCCCTTTGATCGAGCCGATTTTTGTCAAGCCCGGTTCCCCGCAAGAAAAGTGTTTCCCCTTTCCGGCGGTCGTTGTTTTACTCCGGTAGAATAATTCCGGGCGGCCCGGCGCATATAAATCACGTCGGTTTTCTCTGTGGATTCCGCGAAAATGTCCTCCGGGTTACGTTAAATATGTTTTTAATATCGGCATAATTTTTCTCGAGGGTTGCTAACCCTCCCCTAAAACTTCCCGCGCTCGCCAACTTTTCATTTCGAAACTTTGCTCCGGTTTATTTGCTCTTGTCGGTAAGTATATTTAATTATATTCCGGTATTAGGAGAACACGGTCGTTGCTTTCCGGGCGGCCGGCGATCCGTACGCGATCTTGGTGCGTTTAATTAAATCTTGGAAGGTCGGGTGGCTTAATTTTTCCCAGTCTGGCGGACGTACGTGATGAAATCATAAATCAATCATTTTCAAACACACACAAGATGTATAAATGGGGCTGGGGGCGAGCCGAGTGTGTGTGATATTTGCGAGCGGATCCGAGCGAATTTCTGGATTCC